TAATTATTATTATAATTATTAATAAATAAAGTAAAAAAAATGTTCTGAATATTTTTTTAATTAAATTATCTTATTTTTTATTTTAAAAATCAATATGAAAAATTCTCCAAAATGGGTATTTTTTATTAAACACACTTAATAAAATGCTTGATAAATAGTATTATTATTATTATTATTATTAATAATAATAATAATAACAAACATTAAAATGGAATTTAAATGGATTTAAAATTTGTGTACCAAATATATTTTTTTTTACTAAATACACTTCATTAAATACTTCATAAAAGAAATATGTGTTCAAATTTTCCTAAATATACTAAATAAAATGCTTCATAGAAAAAATAACAGAAAAAGGTGTCCATATTATTAAATAAAATGCATAATAAATAATTAAAACAAGTAATTTGTGCCCTCAATATTTTTAAATTAAATAATCCCAATACAATTATTGATGATAATAATAATAATAATCTGAAAAAAATTGTCCAAATTGGTATATTTTTTATTAAATACACAAAAACACTTCAATAGAAATTTGTGCCCTAAATATATTTTAATAAATACACTTAATTAATACATTCATTAAAGCATTAAGCCACAATTACATTCAAAATACAGCTTGGCCTCGAGTACTTGCTTTTACTATTTAGTTTTTATGTTTTTTTATGTTTACTATTTAGTATTTAATGTTTTTATAAAAGACATTAAAATAAAACTAGACATGTTTTCTTTTCAATGAGCATTTAATTTAGCATTTTAGGAAAATTATGATTTTTTTAGATGTGATTATATTCATAATATATCAGAGCTTTTTTGTGCACATTTTTGCTTAATTAAACCATAAAAAATTATATATAGGCCTAGAAGTGATTTAGCCTCTGTATCTGTAATCTCAGGTGTTATAACCCGAAAATCTTAGACGTGCCAATGTCATAAGAATCCAAAACATCTTATGTTACATACTGTTTTCATCCACTTTTTAAAACATTTTTTTTATGAGTCATAACAATTAAACTCAATAAGACGATAGAGGACCTTAAATAGCGATGACATATGCCGGGTTTACGGGCCCGGGTTATAAATGTCTCCATCCAGATATCCGCACACATCCAGACCTCCAGGCCCCACGAGAGAATACAAAGTGAACCTGAGCCTGGAGTCTGTCAGGAGCCCAGAGCTGAGGGGGCCAGACATATTTCTTGACTGGATGCTGCTCCTTAGATCAGCGTCTCTCTTTGATCCGTATAGTAGCTGGATACGACTTCAAAGCCGAGCCTCCATAATCTGTAAAGCTGCGTAACTCCACCCAGAGCTCACTGACACTTCAACAAAACAACATACACTGCTAGATCTGCATAACCAACGCCTGCATTATCAGTTATTTTGACCCTTCAATGCATTACATCTAATAAGAAACATCATTTGGATACAGAAAAATAGGTTTTGTATTAGTTTTAATGACACACATTTATAACATGTAATGATGAGCGGTTTCCTGTAATCACATGATTTATTGGATCTCAGCTTGATAAGACGGCGGTGTTTATTGTAGTTTGGGTGGATAACACATTTCATAAGCTTATCTACGCCTACACCTGTTCATAAGGGCAAATGTGAAGATTACAGCTGCAATAAAGCATCAAAAGGACCCTGAAGGAACACCGTCCAACTCTTGTGTTACTTTTTAAGGATTTTTTATGGAAATGTTAGCGTGTAATAAACGTTGTCAGCGGGTGTGGCTCACAACACTATGCTATACAACAGGTCCATTGAGTTATTTATCTGACACACAATGACGCCACATTTCTGAATGAACAAGTCACTTCCACTACAAGGGACTTTCCACTCCCTTAAAAAACGGCTGATTTTCTTTCAGAAATAACTGAGGGTGTTGCAACAAATCCACAAAATATCATTGCAAAGGCCATGCAAATCTTCTGGAAATGCTCTATTGTTTTTAGTTATAATGTTGTAACTATTGCATAAGGACTACAAGACTAGTGCGCAGCCACATTATGACATGAAAAGGTAAAATATTGTAAATTATTGTATAAATTATTTTAGAATTATTAAAAAAAGTAAATAATAAAACATAAATAAAAATTATAACTTGTCACTATCACCTCAGAAATAACTGAAGATGTTCTGGCGAAAGCCACAAGCTGTCATTATAACACTTTTGTAAGAAGTACATAAAATATATAAATAAAAATATATGAATGCTAAAATGCTATATTATTTTGAAAGTACGTTGGTATAACCAACTGTTTGAGGAAAGCGCGCAACCGAATTGTCACGTGTATTACAATATTACAAATGAATTAAATTCAAAACGGTTATTTAATAAACTCATTACTCATAAATGAAGTCCAAATTCAAACTCAGTTTTATGCTAATTTATTTAAATAAATACACACATCATGAAATAACTTAGTACAACATTGGTATTTGCAGCATTCCTTTGTAAAAAATAAATAGATACATTTACATGTACATATCCGCAGCCTTATGGAGGCACTTAAGAAAGTTCAAGGATTCAGTCTTGAGTGTTTTTGAGGGTTTTGCTTGTTGAAATCATTGCAGGTTTATTCCGAAGACCTTCACGGACCAGCTCAACGACAGTCCAGACTCTGAGCACATGAGCTCCTTTCAGACATCGTCAAAGCTTCGCTTTGGTCCAAGCTTCAAGATTCAGTTCGCTGTATCTCTAAATGAATCGGAAAAAAAGGAGAATTCAGTCATTCAGGTTTTCCTCTGTAAAACTATGCATCTGTAACTAGCCTCTATTCGATTGCTAGCTTCAATATAGGTCTAAACCACACCAATCATATCAAACAAGTACTCGAAAAACATCTTTGTTCAATAAATATCCACATTGCAATGGTACACTCTTAAAAATAAATGTTCCAAAAGGAGGTTTTCATTAGTTTTGGTTCCCCAAAGCAGTTCTTAAAAGAACCATTTTTTCTTAGTGTGAAGAACATTTTAATAATCTAAAGAACCTGCACTGTAAAGAACCTTTTGTGGAACGAAAAGGTTCCACGGATGGTGAAGGTTCTTTGTGGAACCATTGATGCCAATAAAGAACCTTTATTTTTAAGAGTGTAGGCAGTTGATTTCTCACCATGTTCGGCTTGGATTGGAAACATCTCAAGGTGCTCTAGCCTTGCATCTCTCCTGCTGTCCCAGAGAAGTGTTCTCCGATTCCTGTAGCGTTTTAAAGTCCTGAATGGCTTTTCTGTTCTGAAAGTCAATCAGAGCCATTGTAATGACGGCATTCCAGCAGCTCTCCTCGCCTGAGCACCTGAAGTCAATCTCCTTATTGTCTGT